CTTCTTTCTCTCCTCCTGTGGACAGATGGGCTGCTGTTTTTCCCGGTAGTCCTCTCGTCGCGCAGGAACTTGGGCTTCCTGCTTTCGCCTAAGCGCTCGCTCTGCACGGTCTCTCCTGGGTGCTGCCCTTGCAGCCGTCGGCCGCCCAGCGTGACTTTCAGGTGTCTCCTTATTAGAGAAAAAGATCAGGGAGGACCGAACATTGTTTTATGGGGCTTTTCCCCTAGTGGCCGTGAAGGAGGTCCTGCAGTAGTAACTGGCGACGTTTGACCCGTGACAGCTGCGACTGTCCCTACCTGAAAGTTAGGATGGCAGCCGCTGGTTTGGCATTTCTCTCCCTAGGGAATGGGGTCTCGTTTGTAGCTGTTTTACTACGAAGAATGGTCATACTCGTAAAACTCTCCGTGGAGTGTAAATGGTGTTGCAAAAAAAAAATGCAGGAGGTTTTAAGGGGGTTGGTAAAGATAAGTCATTTCTCAATGATTGAGGGAGGGTTACAGACATAAGTTCCTGTCTGAAGGCAAAATTCACCACTAGGTAAGACGTAAAATTGAGCTGTCAGTGTTAAGGAGTCATGTAGAGGTATTAACTATTGGGTCGTATCGGGGCATTTTGCTTATAGTCAGAAATGAACTTTCAGTTAAATATTGAAATTGTGCCAAGGCTAGCACTTCTGTGTGGATGAACCCCACGTGGAAATGATGCCTGCCGTTAAAAATTAAATGTGAAAATGTCACTTCGCTTAAAATGATAATGCAGTCTGTGGAGGTGTTAGCTGAAGTGAGAAATCTTGAGCTTATTCCTCATTTCCTTAAGTAGTTTTGCTTCTGCTGGTGATAAAGAATATTTTCTTCTGTTCCTGTTTGGTTTTAGTATAGTATAATTCAAATACTAATGCTCTTGTTTACGAACTCGGTATCATTTTTTCACCCAGAATAAAATCATAGTTGATCCTTTTGAGTGGGGAAAAAAAAAATGCCCTTCGCTGTATATTGTTACCCATTTGCCTAAAATACAGTATTGGTTTTTATTGGAGGAATCTTTTTCTTAAAACCGTATTCCCTAGGTCATCTGTTGGCAGTATAGAAAAGGTATTTTGCAATACTGAAACAGAAATCAAAGATGTGTTTTTTCATAGCTACACTTAATAACAGTATTCAAAATAGTAAGTTTCCTGGCTAATTCATGATATCAGTGTAACCACTCAAGTAGTGTAGAATCTACAGAAAGATGTATTTAATTTGGAAATCCAGGAATACATCTTTCTCTTGTCCAAAAATGGGAGTAGAAGTACCTTTTACCTTTGCTGAGAGGTAGCAGTGAAGGTTACTGTGGGAAGGCACTGGTGCCTGGCATCACTGGCAATTCTCGTGTCATTTTTGGCCATTGCATTAGTGACAGTGTTACTGGGGACAGGGAGCTAAGAGGTGTAAAAAGAAGAATCTAGTGCTCACTGGACATGTAGAAGTGGGAATGCCAGGAACTGTATCTGTGCATTAGTCTTTCCTAAATTGGGTTTTGCCAACTATATATTTGTTTTTGTTGGTCAAGAGTACTGTAACATAACTTATTTCAGGGCAGAAATCTTTTCCATTCCTTTATGCCATCAGCCAGTTTGTCAGCATATATTCATTTCATGCTTACCATGTCCAGGCAATGTTTTAAAATCTAGAAATGAACAAACATAACTTCTGCTCTTTCAGCAGGGGGATGGACAAAGCTAATAAGAAGTAAAATATATATATACCATGTCAGATAGTAAGTAGTAAGTGCTGTGGAAAAAATAAAGTGGGGTAGGGTGACAAGGGAGTGTGAGGATGACAATTTAAAATAGGATAGTCAAGTAAGTCCTCACTGAAAAGGTGACATTTGAGCAAAGACTTGAAGTAGGTTAAGAAAGCTAGCCTTGCAGGGATCTGAGGGTAGATCATTCCAGGCAGAGGGAGCAGCAGATGCAAAGGCCCTGAGGATGGAATGGCTATTTGCAGATCCTGTCCTGTTTGAAGAACACCAAGAAACAGCATGGCCAAAGCAGACTATGTAAGGAAAGAGTATTTGGAAATGAGGTCTGTTTGTATAGGGCTTCAGAGTTATTCTATTCTCACTGCCTGGAATGTCCTTCCCTTGCATTACCAAATGTCCAGATTTGACCTCTTGTTCCACATTTAACTCAAAGATCACTTAAGCATTTCCTGAAGCTTTTTATCTTGCTGGATGACTCCTCTTGGTTCTTAGAATTTTATTTTTATCTTTATTATGGTACAGTATTCGGTTTCGTATCCTATAATTCCTTGGGGCATCCTGTGGATTCCTTGAGAGGAGGTATCAGGTTTTAGATATATTTGTGTCACCCCTCGCAATCAACATTTGAATTTTGAAGATAGAAAGCTCTCAAAAGTCTTTGCTTAATGTATTCATTAGATTCTCCTAGCCTGATATGGAGTTTGGGTTAAAAGTGACTTCCTAAGGCTCCTTCCACCTTTTAAAATTTTGTCCTTCATTAACTGGAGGTTTTAAGAATTCATGCCTTCAGGATAAAAGCAATGGTGGAATAGCTGTTACTTCAGCTGTTTCTGTTTTAAGTTGAAGAAGTTTCTAAGAAGTATGTATTCAACAAGACTGACAGTTTTGAATGTAATTTATTAAGCAGCCCCTAAGGGTGTGGTCCTGATAAGATGCTGAGATTTGATTCCAACAGTAATGGTTTAGCACTAAGCAATTTGAAAACTGTTGAACCATTTGCCAACCAGTTGCCCTTATTGCATTGGATTTCCATTCCTCATTTATCCTTTTTTTTAAAAAAGAGTTTATTTATTATTTATTTTTTAGTAATCTCTACACCCAACATGGGGCTCCAACTCACAACCCGAGATCAAGAATCACGTGGTCTTCCAACTGAGCCAGCCAGGCGCCCCGTCCTTCCTCTTAATACAACAATTTATATGTTCATCTTTACCCTTTAATAAGTGCAGATTTCTGTTTCCTGCTGTAATAGATTATTAGATTTTTTAGATTTGATTGTGCCTTCCAGCTGCTGTGAGGTGTGATGTATATGAAGTCACACATCTATTTTGCTAAACTGAAGTTTTTGGTTCTTTCAGCTAGAGTCATATATTAAGAATTCAAGGGTGGACTCAGAATGTTGTCACCTCTTGTTTTTGCCCTCTATTTCCTTGAGCTATGACTGCAGAAGTTCAGGTGTTTTTTCTTGGTTTAATTGTTTCTTTAATTGTTGGTTAGCCCCAGCAACTTGGCAACAATAAACTTTAGTCTTTTAATATTTGCTTGGCAATATTTGTGTATTACAATAAAGAACTAATGAGATGTATAGCTAATAAGCCAGATTTATTTTTTTTTTTAAGCCAGATTTATTTTTACATAGTCATCAAACAAAACCCTTGGGTTTTGATTCCTTTGTTATTAATAAACCATGACATGTCACTATAATTAAGTGAACATGTTTTTCTTTTATATGAATTATAGTAGTTGTTTCCACAGATACGAAAGATTGTGCGTGTATAAAATGCACTGTTCATACATGAGTTACAAATTGTTATATATATGAATTGCCTCAATTTTCTTATAAACTAAATCTGATTATTATTGTCAATTAAATGCAAGCCCTAGAAGGGACCAAAGATTTTCTTTCCTTTTTTGAATTTGTTGACATAAAAAGCAAAATTTATAAATATATGTAAGTTTTTTTTCCTTTTTAAATTTTTAAGAAAGATGCATCCATGTATACTGGTATCTTAGTGACTCTTGAGACTGTGGCAGATGGGATAGTTAAACTTCTTTTTATGATCAAAATATAATTATAAACAGTTCTAAGCATTAAGGTGTTAACACATGTTAACATACACTATTTGAGCTGTTTTGTTAAGAAGAGAATTCCAAATGATTGATTTCTTTCCATATTAATTAGGATGCTTTTGACTGCATAAATAAGGTTTTATGTAGTCTGACTTAAATTTGCTTGAAAAGAACCATATTAGGATACATAATAGGAAGTGCAGAATAGTAGATTCCAAAGTTATTTGAGTCAGCAAATTAATGACTTCATCACAGATCCAGTTTCTTTCTCTGCCTTGCTCTTCCCAAAGTTGTTATTAAGAGGCTGGTTTCCTCCTTGAAATTAGTGGTAACCAATTCAGTCTATAAGCAGAGTGTGATCTGTTCCTGCCATCCTAGAGTATATCTTCCCCTTCAGTCTGGTTAGTTCTACCCAAGATTAAATAACAGCTTACACTGGGGCGCCTGGGTGGCTCAGTC